TTTTTGGCGGGTAAACTACTTCGCAAACCTGGCACCAAAAAATTTAAAATAGTTCTATAGGTGATTTCATGTATCCATTTAGAAGAGCAGACTAAGAATATCTTAAAACTGAAATCGGTTTCGAATGCAACCATCAGGGACGTATCGGAGGGGGGGGGAACTTGGGGGGAGGATGTTGGATGATTATACGCGTAATAATTATAATAAAGTTTCTTGTGATTGATTGGCACTCCCATACTAAGTTGTGGGAGAAAAGGGGGGTCTGGGGTCCTCTCCCAGAACATTTTTGAAGCTCTAGAGCTGAATTTCTGGCGTTTTCTAAAGCAAATTCGCAAAAAATTTCATGTAAATTGACTGTATTTCACAAAAATGGCTACCATTTAACAAAAATAATTACTTTATTACGCAAATTTTACCTGAAAATGTCAAATTTTTCAGTTGAATTTTCATGATTTTTGCCTGAATTTCATAGTAGGGGGAGTTTCACACCCCCCTCCCACAACCCCCAGTCGCTACGTCCCTGACAACCATTCCTTGCGAAGATATAATGACTTAAATTTCTAAAAATCCGCCATTTTGTTCTATTTTTGGTAACAATATGGCGGATTTTTCGACATTTGTATCGCTATACCTTCTCATAAAATGGTTGTATTTAGAAACAGATTTCAGTTTTAATTAATTAAAGTACTCTTGGTCTGCTCTACTAAATAGATTCAGTAAAATCACCAATAGCTTATTTTTAATTTTTTGGCGCCACGTTTGTGACGTAATTTACCCGCCAAAAAGTAGCAATTCCAAAAACAAAAACAAAAACGATTTGTAAGAACGATATGTTCTATATTCGTGGAAAATTTGGTAGAAACAGAATGAAAATTTCAGAAGTTGAAGCATATTGGCACTTTTGCATGCATTTTTGACAGGCGTGTTGCCGCCTTCTTTTACGTATTCCATGTGGAGCTGCCCCATGTCAGTAATTAAAATAGAATAGATAGTTTGGAAATCATTAGAATAGCAATATAACTCATTATCTATACGTTTATTCATAAATATATTCTTTCACCGTCACGTGTGTATTATATTTTTGCCATGTCCACCAATAGCAATTTTCAATTTACCCTATTGTTTGAGTCATGGATAGGTAACTTTCCTAAGACATTTCTTTTGGTTAGTCAGGCAAAAGTACAATACGCACGTGACGGTAAAAGACCAGATCTATGAATGATATTGTTCACTAACATAAGTAATGGGTTATATTGTTATTCTAAATTTCTAATGAGTTTCTAAAACATCTATTCTATTAACTATGGTGGGAGTGAACACTCCAGGCCCCGGCTGGACCAAAACTTTGAAAGGTTTAGAGCCCCCTTCAGTATATTGAGAACTTTCAGAGGCCTCTAACATCTTCACACCCCCCCTTGGCATAATAAATGTACTTCCCTAAGCTATATTATGTGCTGCTAGTGTTGTAGTTCTATAGTCTGACCAGATCGTTAAACACCGCACGAATAATTGTACTGCACGTTGCATGCTTGAATATATACTATATATTTCAATATATATAGACATTGCCAAAAGAATATTGCACAATACGTTTGTGCAAAGCGAGAAAATTAAACCACAAAATTTCATGAAAAAGACACAGAAATTGGAGAACCCCAGCCTGTACTCTCTGGTCATTCTTGTAAAGTTACATTGCATAGAAATTGAAATGCTAAAACTGTCAGTTGGAGACAATTTTAGAAAGACTAGAAACATTGCAAAGATACTAAGTGATGAAATACAAGCCAAAATATCCACCTGCTGCTGGTTCTTATCCCTATAGGTTAATTAACCTAAAATTCAAGGCAAACTTCCCAAAAGCTGGCTGATAAATTGAGAAGTATTTCTTCAGAAATTTTGTCTGCATCAATAGGAGTTTACTTCCCTGACGTTTTGAAATTAACAGACTTGAAATAAACAGACTTGAAATAAACAGACGTGTAGAAATACACATACCAAACCAGCGGGCTAAATTTTAACCGAGGGCTATAGCGCCTGGCCCTGAATGTTAATTTGGTTAAATCGGTTTAGCATGCAAATTCTCCTTTAATCTGATACTCCTAAATCAGTTTACACTATCCTAGGAGATACTTATATATGTACATTAACAAAATAACTATGAACTAGCTACAGTATATATATGAAAAAAGTACAATAAAAGTGTCATGCCAAAATTATATACTGATGCTCTTAATGCAGTTAATACAATGCAGCACTTTAATTTAAAAGCGTTGATATTCGCAGGCAATTCGTTAAAAGGGAGATCAATATTGTTCCAGGTTACAATAGTTCTTGGGAAAAATGAAAATTTGAAAATAAGAAACTTGCTGTTTACAAGAAACTTGCTGAAAGGGATGATGACTTGGAAGTCGCGGGATTTTCAAGTTTAGAGGGCACATGTACATTGCAGGGGGAACAGTTATATCAACGCATGCAGCCTTGGTAGATCTTCTAGAACATACACTGGGGAAACATGGCTGTATCTAGAAAAGTCGTTGTTCGCAAATCTTGCGGCGCGATGTTGAATAATTTATATCATTGGCACCATGATGAATTAATTTTTATTTCAAAGACAATGTTGTTTTACTGGAAACTAAAACACTCACAGAACTCATACGTCACTACATCCGGGACCAGATGCCCACCATTTCCCGCCATTTTCATTGTTGTTGTTTTGAAAATACAAATGGTCTTTGGTTCGTACATATAAAACGAAATTCTAAACGTTGGATATAAAACGAAAACATTTAAAAGACATCTTGAGTAAGTAAAATTTATTCTATTTTAATTCATGTTTGCACTATAATTTGAAAATATAGCTTTTGCGTGTATTTTTGTCACTCTGGGTAAGTCCATATAATAAACAGAACATCAAAGATCATGTAACGTCCGTTCTGCGCAGACCTTCATTCCAATGGGCGGGACCCGACCATTGGAATGTTATTAATATTTCGCACGTTCCGAACTTTCTTGAATTGAATCTCTACTCTCTAGTCTGTAGTCTGTATTCATTTACAAGCATAGCGAACACCAGAAGAGTGCATGTTAAAAATTCAGTATAATATATATCCAATCATATTTTACAACTATATAGCACTGAGTTCAAAATTCACAAAATGTAAACAAAGCGTTTGTTTAAACTGTTGCGAGAAGATATGGATTTATGTTCTCGCGTGTCAGAAACAATATCTCACTTCCATATATTATTGACACTACCTACAGTATACACAGGCTACACTGGTACAGACAGTTTAACAAATTGCATGGCCATGGATCTATTAAGATCAATAGTTAGCTCATATTATATATTACCTTCATTAAATCAGAAGAGTGCCATAGTCGACTTGATACCAAGAAAAAAATCCACAAGCTACTCTTTGAGGACAGAGTTTAGTCAGTATCCAAGAGTGAACACGGAACGTTTTAAATTGTCGTTTGCAAATAGATTAATTTTTAACTATAACCTATTCATATGATGTAAACTTTACTAATGTATTCTTAATATTTACTTGTAACATAAGATATGTATTTTTATCTTTGATCTAATAAAAAGACTTTTGAATTGAAAAGACTTTTGAATTGAATTCTGATCGTTTAATTGGCTGTTTATGGTCACGTGATATTCAATAGAAAATTCCATTTCCCAAGAGTGCAATGGAATACGCTCCATTGCACTCTTTGCGAGTGCAATTCCATTGCACTCTTTGTATTTTCGATAAATCGAATCCGTCAAAATGCTTCTCATACGAATCTATTAGTCTATTTTGGTATTATATAAAACAAATAATGAATGTTTATTCGTGCAATGGTAAGAATATTTTCATTCGGTGAAAGATGGAATGTTCTATTCAACTCGGCTGTCGCCTCGTTGAATGGAACATTCCATCTTTCACCTCATGAAAATATTCCTACCATTGCACTCATAAACATTCATTATTTGTATACTATAAATTATCCGAATAATGTCTTATTGAACGTCAGCATCGCTCCTCAGTAATGTCTCATCCTTTATATACAATCGCATTCTTGGCTAAAACTTTTCAGTCGAGCATTCAACAACTGATCTGCATGAAAACTGGGCGAGATAGAAAGAATAAACCATGCCAGAATATGCATGCATCATGGAATATATCATTAGGTTTCGTTGTTTACAAAAACATTTGGCAGAGTCCTCAATGGATATCCAGAACATAATTAAACAACGACTCAATAAATTCCACTGGGCATCTTTATGCCTAGACATCCATTGAGCCATTATTGAGACATCCATTGAGCTATCTATCCATCTTGAAGCCATTATCTTCGTCAGTGTTCCTATCTTTCATATCTTGATAGGAAAAAAATGTAGCCGTCATCATGCACACGAGATACCACTCACAGTCCGTAAACGTTAATTAAAAATGGACAAATATACGTTTTAATTTACCTTTGGCATGATCGTTTTAATTGACCTTAGCATTCACCATATCATCTCACACAGTGCTGCGGACTCAGACGGCAGGTTTATATGCACTATTATGAGTTTATGACATGCAATAACTCTTCTGCCGAAATGCAGGCGAACTATAAAAAATGCCTTTACATAATGGACACGATACATTTGATAACGTCTGCGGATATTTCCATGATTGTAATTAACTAAAGTGAACTGTACTTAATTAGCCTTTCTCACGATGACGAATAATTATCGGGCCGCCATTTTTGGGTGGCATCTAACTCTCGTTAACAAATGCTGCAGACAATTAAAACAATGTGAAAAGCAATTTTTCAAAATAAACCAACCATTTATATGTAAAGCAAATTTACCATCATTCGTCCAAAAATTAAAAAAGTCGCTGTTATGTGGATTTATCTCGCAGACTTCGGCTGAAAAGCCACCCAAAAATGGCGGCGTAAGAAAAGCTAATTGAGGCGTACTTTAAAGTTTAAAGAGATCACAGTATATATTAAAACGGACAATCGCAACATCTCATACAGTAATACATTTATTTCCAATATTGTTCAAAATCATATCTTTACACAATTCAAAGTCAACTATTATAATTTTAAAGCAACAATGTCAGTTACATCTACACAATCTGTCCTAAGACACTTTAAATAAAAGGCAGAAAAACCTGCGGCATTATCTATAATTATATACAATTAATACAACCTTTAATTCAAAGAAATTAGCCATTCCCATCTATTCAAAGCAATCAGTTATTTACTAAATCTTAATGTTTGCCATCCACACACGTCCATACTAAATTTTATAAGCAACGCAGTCTGTAGGAACTTTGGCGTTGTGAACAGCGATACCGACTCCTTGGTCATTAAATTCAACAACGTTAATTTGCTTTTCCTTGGTTTTGCAGATGATGCTTGAATCGCTAACACCACTTGCTTGTTTCCCCTCGGTCTTGCAGCTTATTTTCAGGATATTTTGAGGAAAAAGATGAGGATAACTAAGTTGATCATTGTTGATTAAAGTGCTCGTGCTGACCCGTTCTTCCACTATTACATCTTTGCACACTTGTTGTTGATATGATCGTTTTGTAGTATCATCACTAAAATAAATAACAGTTGAAGTATTTAGTTTATTGGCGTATACAAGCATGCACAGTAACTAGTTTAATTCGAAAACAACGTCGGTGACCCCCATTTTTTATTTTATTAAAAGTTTTTTTCTAGTATGAGCAATCATTAGGCCAATTTTTAAAAAATTCTGTTGATCCAAAATTTTTCAAAACGAAAAAACGTGTTTATTCCTGACAAAATTTTTTTGGATCTACCGAATTTTTTAGAAATTGGCCTAGTGATTGCTTATATTAGAAAAAACTTTTAACAAAATAAAAATTGGGGCTCACCCACGTTGTTTACGAATCAGTAAACTAGTTCAAATGTAAATTAGCAGCCATTTTGAAACGTCATGCATTGTTGCCATAGTAACCCCAGTTACGAACTTTTCCGTTACAGTTTCTGATTCTCAAAATATTGTTCTATACCCTACATCTTGTTTCATTCTTCTATAAAAATATCAATGTATAAAATTTTTTGGTCTGAAATGACAAAAATGTGACAAAAACCCGAAAAGAATTGTCGTGACAGAGGTTTTTGCGTGAGGATTTTCACGCGCGATCGAGCTTTCAAAACTTTTCCAATGCAAGCCATGAGATCGACTACATAAAAGAGACAAATATACCACATATTTTTTGGCTTTATGAGCTTGATCATGAGGATGAGTTTTAGGTTTTTTTTCAATTTTAAAAATATTCCTAATAAAATTACTGATCGTGCATGTAATCATGACAACTACTTCAACTACTGCCAGCAAGGCGAGGGGCTTCTGCATACATGTATTTCTAGTTAGAGTAGAATATTAATGTTGTTGTGAAAAACGAATGATATATATTACATTCGTGTTCCTTGGAAGAGAAAGTCTTACGAGAAGCGTGCATGCATGGAGAGGTGGTAAGACGTAGGTAATAAAACAAATACGAACAAAAAGAGCCCCAGTAATCGACTGATCGTATCATTTTTATCATAATCATTTTGATAAAAACAAAGAAAATCCTTATGCTTTTTTATGAACTATACGTATATTTGATATTGTGGTTGATGTGAAATATTATTTTATTTGTTGATTTTTGTACTCAGTTTTAACTTTCTTGTTCAATGTTTGGGCGAACCCATGCGAATGCAAGCCAATGCAGCTCCTGGAAACATGGGAAAAAGGGAAGTGTGACCTTCTTAATACGCAGATTATGAATTATCCAAGTAGATAATAGCTGAAGGAGAGCAACAAGTGTATAAGGTAGGAAGGCGCCGATCAATACATTTCTAGTATTTTCCTATGTCTGCATGAGGCTGTGCCTGTAGTACTAATTCATGAATTGAAAATAAGGTATAGACACTTTCCGAATTTGCTGGCTGGCAATGAAGACAACTTATTTTAAAATGGATTACATTGTTTGCCTTGAATTCAAGCTATTATGTCGTGTGTATCAAGCAAATTCGCGAGTTTCTAATTGGTGTTGCCTATTGGGACAACTGGGAAAAAAGTGCCATTTGTTAAACTTGCGGATAAAAAACACGAGATTTGTACATTTTGACGTTTAGTACTACATGCTGTGCTTATTGATTAAAGATTTCCTTTTGTCCTTTTCTTTTATTTGATGTTTCATTTTGATTTTTGCATATTTACTCATATTTAATTATAAAATACTACCTGTCATCGTCCCAAAGAAATCTGTCGAGTCTTCGTGCATCTGCAAAGATGGAATATGCAACAACAAGTACAAGTACCTAAATAAAAAAAACAATTTATTATACCATTTTTGATTGACAAAACTTCCCGCTTGCTTATTTTAGTATCTTACAAGTATATTATTGTTCATTGAATCCTCAAATTAAACGAAATGAAATACGGAACAGAAAAAACAAAAGCTCTACATTTTCCCAAAGTGCATGCATGTTAACCTATGTTGTTTAAATGCCTGTTGTTTACCAATATTGGACAATCGAAACTTTGGGGTAAACGATTGTATATTTAAATTTTAATTTAGAAACAAGGGGAACAGAATAACGTGATGGTATATAAATACGTTCAGAAGCAAAGCTGACAAATATTAATTTGTTTCTTTAGGAAGTGGTTTCTTACTTCCTTGTGTGGGAATTGTAGACAAAGGATAAAGCAAGACCTCATAGTCAGAAATTCATAGATTTTTCTCACATTCTATAGCATTTTTATTGTCGTAATTTTTACAAAATTATAAATTTATTAATACATAACGAGTTTTTCTTAATATTTGTACCTCTTCTCGTCTTAATTGATTACGTCATCTTCCTGTTTCCTTGTGCACTTAGATTTTAGTAGTATTTTATACAGTTAAAAGCTTCCTTATATTTGACAAAATCAACTGTTTTAACTTCCTGAGGATGCTTGCAGCTCGCTTATACTCTAAACGTTAATTTCAAAAGGAATAAAACACTATATATAGCCTACCATAGCAGAAAATGCCTTTTTCTCGTATTACTTATTAGTCATATTATATAATATTGAAACTTTTCAAGGTTTTTATACACGACAATCGCTTGCAGACAAAAAAACCTTCATCAGAATAAATAATCAAACGACATCAGCTGGATAACATCATGTTACATGCATGTACGATAAAAATAGATATGTATGCAAATGCAACAGTAAATTTGCATTTTAATTCCTGCAAGAATTATTAAATATTATTTTGTTCTATACTATTCTAATGTAGCTTGCATTGGATGTTTTTCAGTGATATTTAAACGTTTACAGTAAAACATTTACACTTTTTCAAAACAAGCTTGAAAAATGTTTAAGCTTAAAAAACCTGTTTGTACCAAGTTTAGAACTATTTAAATCCAATTTAATTTGTTATCTCCTACATATGCCATAAATGGTTAATTTTGTGTTTAAGCCATTTAGACGGACAAATTGCGCATAATTGTGTCCAAAACGTTCATTACAATAATTTGGACAAAGAAAATCATTAAACAACGATGAAACAGAACCGGGAATCTTTGTTAAACATTGTGCGCAGGCAACACTGATGACAATATTAAACGGCATAAAAATGAAATTGAACGAAATATGAAGTAAAAAAGATTTGGTCAAACAATTTACTTATAAAACTTACCTGACTTACTTACTTAAAAAGATCGATAGTGTAATATATATGTACAAAACGCTTATAGCCTACCTTGAGCATCATCTTGGCCTTTTGCGGATGGTTTTTCAATATATCTTCTTGCTTTCTTCTTCAACTGGATTCAATAGCAGTCTTCTGATAACAAAACCAAGTGACTCGTCCTATTTATATCTGTTCAACTGCACGGATATAAATAAAGATGGGTGCGGCTGGAACCGGCGCATATAGCTTCTTGAAATACTACAAAAAGTGGGGGAAGTGCTGCTATTTATGAATAGCTTTGCAATTAAGCATCATAAAACGTCAAAACCGTCATCATGTCAAAGATACGGGACGCGGGTGACAATTAACACGTATTAAATGACTTTGAAATGAAATAATTAACATTAACTGTTGGCCGCGGAGGCGCGCATTTATTAATTATCGTAGTGTATGGCAGGCCCAAAGACAGGATGCACTAAAAATGGAAGTTTTTCATGTACCAGACATACAGTAGAATAGTTATTCGGTTAAATGATTATACAAAACATGCACATAAGGCAGGTTTTTTGTTGTTAAGTATTTGTATATTTAACCAAAAAAATTATCAGACAGCAAAAACTGACAAAAAGTTCTTTCAAATTTAAACACCACCCACAAACTCCCAATTAAGTTGTGCATGCGTGTCCGGTATTCAATGACAATGTTTACTGGAAAACTTTACAACAGATTAAATTGTCTCGTTATATAAAATGGTAGAAAATCAAAAGTGGTCATTGTCGGAATAAAATATTAAAATCCCACCATTTTATCATGAATATCATGAATAAATAATTCAAACTACATGAAGACAGCAGTATAACGTATTTTCATTCCTTTCTCGCTCAATTTGACAATTTTCTATTCCATGACGACCATGGTTCTTGAAAACATGAATATGTGATCTTTGAGGGCGGCGCACAAACGAAAGATCAGTGTTTTGTCAACCACGGTGCATCATTAGCCACAGGCTACAGTATACAGCACGGGTTCTTTTTAAGAATTGAAATTTTTTATCAAAGTATAATTATTATAATGAAATAGATACTGTAAATGTCAAGGAGCATCATGAATCAATGTTATTCTATCACTAAAAATGGCGACAGATCGAATAATACTTTTGGAGTTGATTATATATATACTGTATCATAGATCTTTTGAGGTGTGTTTTCAAAACAAACTTACATTCTGACTGTTTCACACTTTCGTTTTATTTAACTAGTTTTATAGCATTTTTATAACATGACGATAAGACAACTGTTGTGAGTGATAAAGACCCGAAAGGTCTTCTTTGTAAACAATTCGTCACGTTTTCTCTAATTGAAGCACAACTGTAAAGCGGGACTATATACAAATACTGATCTTAACAATTTTAACGATTCGTCACCAAAGTTTTATTCATTCAATATAATACAAAAATAGCGCAAATAGAATTTTAAAAAGGTGCATGTAGTCGCAGCCAGCTATAAGTGTTTCAACCGTTCACTGCCCACGCATTACGGTGAATCGCTGAATCACCTGGTGTTTTAGTAACCGACGATCTATATAAGGCTACAAGCACAATCGAGCTGTTTCCATCTGCCACGTTTAACATTTACATATTGTTATTAAAACGATTTGTTGAATGTTGGCGTTTAGTAAACATACTTGTAACTTGAATTCATCCGAAGTATGCGCGTGCATGCCAAAACTTTATGAGCGTCTTAAACACGCCCATGCAATAGCTGTCAAAACAAGGTGAATTCTTAAATGTTGATCAAGGACGCCTTTATGTTTTCAACTTCCTATTGGCCTGAGCAATGCGGGGCACTTCTTATACTTGACATTTTCTTATGAATAGCTCTTCCTTATATGACCTGCATTCTCACTTCCTCGACACTTAAAAAAACTATTTTCAAATTTTCAGTTCCATTATAGCATTCTTCACGGAAATTTTTGTCACAAAAATTAAATATTAGTTTTCTTTATTTCATTTTTTCACTTTCGTACATGGATATTAATTGTACGTTTAGATAATAAATATGAGTTCTCTGGGTCTTTCATAACGGTTGTTGAAAACATTCAATAGTTATATAACTCTATTTTAGTTATATATCGACCGTTAAAATTTAGTAAGTTTATAACTAATCTTACCGTGAAGTTAATTGTATTTTAATTAAATCATAACCAATAGTTAAATATACATGTTTTCATTGGAAAATTTACAAATAGCTATATCATTATCAGTCACATTTTTGGGGCTTTTGAGTCATTCCTATCCTCCTGGCCATGTATGCATATACTTTTGCATGAGCTCGCTCGCAGCCTATAATGACGACCACACAAGTCTTCAAAGTTACTTACTTCCAAAGTTACTATCACCTTGAATTTCTCTTTAATTATTAAATACACGTCCGTTTGAGAAGTAATATTATTACCGTGGCGTATAAAACAACTCAAAGTCAATGTGAAAAAGTTCGCCTCCTTTTAAACTTAAACTGTAAGGGTGCAAAGTATAATGAGAGCATAATTTAATCAGTTTAGAAATCATATAGCTATGGGCCCATTTCTTAGAGACATGGTAAATATCTCCTTACGAGAACAATTTATTCACAAACATTTATTCAAAGTTTTAGGTTTGAAAATTACAACCTTTTTTGTTTGCAAAGGACAATCTTGTGACTTGTACAATAAACAATACTCAATAGTTCGGATTGACATTGAGATTCGAGTTCAATAATTGTTCACATCTAGTAGTCCGAAGAATTAAGGCCGGGATACTTTGTGACTTCTATTTCCATACTATAAACAGTATACACAAGCTTGTGTGTTTAACAGGATTTGTTAATGTCATAGACAGCCCAAAATACGTGTAGCATTACTAAGAGCGTCCATTGCATGGGGGCGGGGCAAAGGGGCTCCCCGCATACGTGTCTGGGCGGCCCTATAGGTGAGCATTACCAACTGTCATTCTTCTAATGAACTCGCAGCAAATTTCAGAGAATTTCTGCATGATAACAGCCAAATGTCCTCCTGTTGAGCTATAATTATTATTTCTTCAGTGAGATATGTTTATGTTATTTACAAGTTTATAATCATGATGGTTTTAATTACTTTTATTTCTCCCTGTTATAGTATTGATTGATATTGATCATGCTACAGACTTTATCACGAGTTGGCGAAATGCTCGTACGTATTAGTGTATAGATGCATGCCGTTCTATATTTTGGTGGATTTTTGGATTTGTTTTCTTCGTACAAATTTATTCTTCCTCTGTTCGAGCTATTTCTATCCATCTCAGTCACAATGTGAATATAAATTTTATGAGCATGTGACGCCAACGCATCATGATAAGAGCTAAGTTCGTGCACGTTAATAGATCAGGAGGGTGAGAAGAAATATTTTAACGAGCGGCGCGGTTACAAAGTTTGAAAAATTCAAATTTTAACGGTTTGGTTCCAGAGCAGATCGACTCACGAGTGCGGAGAAAGTGCTTTTGTTTACATTAAGTTGTTCTAATTCTTCAAGGAAAAGCGAGAGAAAGGATTTTACAAGTTAGGAAGATTGAATAAACATAAATATGTATGTTTTTTATATATATATAAAAAAAAAATTTTAACGGCGAGTTTTGTTGACATTTATGCAGAGTTGCAAAACCTGTTCAAATTTCCTCCGGCTAAAATTTAAATTTTTCAAACCTTCCTCAAAATAAATTAAATAGATATGGTTTCATCAAATAGCAATATACTAGAGTATATAAACTTAACTGATTCTGAAAGCATAACACACAGTACATGATTCTAATATATAAATTTATACTTTGGACAAATTGGATAGTCCTTACCCACTATGTCTACATCCTATATCATTTAACAAATATAAAATAATATTCAAACACTCTACGTCGCAGGTCGTGTTTTATTATGTCTAAAGCCACTCGCGCTGCGCGCTCGTGTCTTTAAACATAATAAAACACTCCTGCTCGTTTATTAAACAGTACTTAAAAAATTATATTACTGTACTTGTGGTTTTGAAAGGCATTTGAGAGTGTTTAGGTCTTCAGACGTGTGACCCAATTGCCCAATTTCACAATCAGTGAGGCAGTGAATGCTCTCACTTGTTTCCGAGGCAAAGTGCTAAATTTAAACCAAGCCGTATAGTGCGGCAGGTATTTTCCGCGGGTGGCGGGTAACGGGTAGCGGGTGACGGGTAGCGGGTGACGGGTAGCGGGTGACGGGTAGCGGGTGACGGGTAGCGGGTGACGGATAGCGGGTGACGGGTAACGGGTGCGTAGCGGGTGGCGGTGGTTCTCGTAATTCATATGTTGAACACATAGAATAATTTACGCAACCTCGTTCCCAGGGCTTTCGTATGAGGGCGAGGCGGAGAGACGAGAAAGCCCTGGTCTGGGCTGGTCACGTGACTACCAAAATATGGATATATTTGACAGCTACTCGTCAAGGAGTGGCGAGATATTCTTAACTGGAAATTAAAAGTCTTCGAAACAAATAAACAGTGTAGCGAAGTTTGGCAGAAATACCGATATTTCTAGAGATTTTCAACCACAGTGACAGGCAAAGCCAAAGGCACAATTGTATCTGAACATGATTTCCAAGCTGCATCTAGGTGTCTCCAAGTGGTGATTCACACGAAATTTGGTTTCTCTCGTCTTTAACAACATGGCTATTGCCTTTAATATTTGGTTTAAATATTTATTTATTATTGTCTTTATTAGGGTCCACTACAGTATATGTACAAAGTCTAATTATAAAGTCAATTATTCCGAGACCTTAAATGGCCGAGACGCAAACGGGACTCGAAGAACCATGCAAGGCACCTGCCCAAACTTAGTAAAAATTTACTGTTCTAATTGAAAATCTATACTGTTCTAGTAAACCTCGGAGGTGCATGCGCCTCATAAAAATCGAGGGTTAGTAAATCCCCCAGTTGCTTCCCACAATGCATTGTATTCCTATTTAATGAACGAACTGCGGGAAACAACTGGTACAAATCGTAAAATGCACCTACTCAAGGTTTACAAACTATATTATGCTGTGTTATGTTTATATCATATATTATATAATGGTATTATTAAGTTAAACGTTTATTGTTACATAATGTTAATAAACAGTTAGGACCTGTGGCAAGGACAGTCCCAAGTCAAAGACCATGTGCAAGACACGTCTGCGTCGTAAATAGAGTTAACTAAGATTGAATATTTGTGCTTGAGATAACATTTAAA